GGCACAGGCCAGGAGGCCGACACATCACACATTGGACGCTRGCCAATCAGAAAGCAGCATTGTCGTAGCAAGGCCGAGCGTACCAATGGGAAACTGGGAAAATGTCTGCATCTGGACGGCGGCCTTGAATTAAGGGCCGCAAATGTATTCCTGGGCCACATTGGGATGGACCTGGGCGCAGCTACCGGGACACAGGCACAGGCTCAAGCAGGCCGCCCACACGCGAACACTAGCATATAGGCAGGCATTGCGGGTGGGCAGGGATCCTTGGCCAATGCAGGCATTGCCGGCACGCTGCGCGAGTGCCAGTGTGCTGCGCTGTGTAAAGCTGCGTTGCGCGCAAGGCAGCAGGCAAGCGCGAATGCGGGGGTGTGTTGCCTGGGCGCTGGGCGCTGGCAGCCATAGCCTGGGCTGCTAAGTGGGCGCAGAGAGGTGAAGGGGCGAAGGTGGTTCTTCGGACGTGAAGGGCGCTGTGGGTAATCAAGGGAGCGTGTGGGTGGAGAGAGTGTCGTACCTGGGTTGAAGAGGAGGTCGGCTTTGGTGTTGACATCATCACTCGTTGGTCGTCAAGTTGTCCGGATGCTGTCATGTTGTAGCTGTAGGCTGAGTCTGTAGGTAGATAGGGCGCTAGGCGCCATGCCAGAGAGAGAGCTACATTGAGTTCTGCTGTTGGTGTTGCCCGATTGGGCATGGACATTGACTCATGATTCTGTTGTATCAATCTCAATTGGATGGTTACTCGGTTCCATGTGCTATCTACTCTGGCTTTGATTACTTGGACTCTGGTGTGATTTTGCAATTTGGATTTCTATGCTTCGTCCATATTCATGTTCCTTGAAGTAGTCTCAAAACAATTTTTTTCTCCCGACAAAAAAAAATAAATCAAAAAATCAAAAAATCAAAAAATCAAAAAAAATCTCGAATCTAAATTTAAATCTAAAATCTCGTTGCAAGCTCCTCCCCGTCACAGTGCCAGCCTATTTTGGCATGGGCGCCTCTAATTTCTTACGTTGTATTGCATACTGGCCTCTTTTTTTAGTGGGCTCGTCGGTCCTTCCGCTACCCCCTCCTCCACCTTTTCTTTGCTCCCTCCCACCCACCCTTACCGTCACTCATGCTCTACCCACTGAATCAACTTGTGGATCATCTCAATTTCAAATCCAGATTTCTGTCTTCTGACCATCTTCCTTAGGCCTGCCAGAAAAGTTTCTTTTGGATACCCAAGAAGTCCTGTCTCCTTCAGAAATGTGATAAGACTCACCCATAATGTAAGTCTGGTATTGGAATTATCCCAAATCCTGCAGAGAGTGTTGAAAACCGCAGCAAATTTATGAATCTTGGGTGCATATGATTCGAAGTCTCTTAAGGTCTTAAAGTGACCCCTCTCACCATCCCAGATGGTCCCAATATTCTTGAACTTGTGGGCGTTGTAGATCCATGCCGGAGTATCGCCAATGATCAGTCTTGTCTCAAGGAAATCAAGAGTCCCGTTCCCACCATCCGTAMGCTCAAGCGTAAGATCTTGGTGGTAACATTCCAGAATTCTGCTTTCCCCGTCTTTATCTTTGTTGTTATACCAACCCACAAGTAGCAAATCATCAATAAACCTCTTCCTTCAATATACTTGGAATCACTCCCAAGCGCCGTCAAGAACTGCTGTTCAGCATAAATGCACATCACATTAGCCAGAGGAGGACTCGCTCTACCTCCCATTGGAATCCCAATCCTCTGCCTGAGAATCTGAGACATGGAATAGAAGAAGGTGTGATGAAGTTGAAAAGTTGTCAGCGTAATAAGGTCATTCAACCTGATTGATTTCCACCCAGGCTCACCATGCGATTTACCAAAGGTTGCTTTCTTGCCTCTCGTTTTCACCCTAATCCAACCATGTCCTTTATCTCGAAATACTCCAATAATCCATGTTACTGCCTTCACAATTTCGTCATGTGGTAATTTCGTAAACATTTCTTTAACGTCATAGGTTCTCGCAAGCAATCTCCCATCCATTTTTGTTTTTTTGTTCGGCTTCTCATTCATTTTCCCAATTTCCTATTTCCATTGCTTAGGCCCTGAGAGGTTAAAGTGTCTCACACTCAGTCTCTTTATGAGAAAGTTCAGACTTTTGGACAAGAACCCCATTGCACTTGAAGTTGGGCTCAGGAATGATGGTACGATAGGCCTCTTTTTCTGAAGGTCTTTGTCCTTTGACAGAATGTATGCCTGCTGTAACCTTCCTTTCTGATCCCAGTTAGCAATCCTTCCAAGTTTCTTTGAACAAAACAGTTTCTTTGCTTCTTTTAAAGTTTCCATCTCATTACTGCTGATCTTTTCATAGCTTGCATTCTCATTATACATCATATTCATGCCTCTTTCGTACAGCACCGGGCATTCCACAAGAGTGGCACCAGGATTACGATCCAGAGGAGAAAGAACCAGGCCCTCAAATGCTTGCTTCAGCCCCAGTACATATTCTATGCAGCTTCCCACAGTTGTCTGTGCTTGTCTTGTGCAGTAGTCCTTTTGCTGCATGTGCATGCATTCTTTCTGATCCAAGCAACCCATCCTCTTCAATGGTTCACAAGCCAGATTACATGCCCGATTTACTTCCTGTCTCGTTATCAAGGTACCAGGATGGGGGATGTTCTTAGAGTTACACACAAAGTCTCGAATTCAACAAATGTCCTCTAGTCTTACTTGGACATGCCCATGCGTCCTAGGCAAGTCAAATGCTTCGCAAGTGCACGGATGACCACATCTCCTTGCGAAGCGCTGATGATTATGCAGGATACTGCCAACAGACTTCCTTTTCTGCCAGACAGTCCTCATCCTGCCAATCAACAAGTTAGAGTTTTTGGAAAAATTTGATCCTTCAACCATCTCTTTACAACCCCACGCACCTTTTCTTTGCTAACATATTCACAAAACGGCAATTTAACAGTTATCCTACACCTTGGGTTAATTCCATATACTTTCTTTGTCACCCGAGTGATAATACCCCTCGTGATTTGCCTCCCTCTTGCCGTGTTTAATTGCTTAATCCCCGTATTTATATGCAGCAATTCATCCAAACTTTTCTTGTACAATAACTTTTTCTTCCATGGGGCTCTCAAAATCAAGATAACTTCGGCTTTAGCATCATCTGTTTTGCTTTTAGTCTTCTTGATTTCAATCAGCGTCCATTTTTCCCCCGCTTGTATGTATTCCTTGGCGTCCCTCAACTTCATTTCCTTACCCCCTAGTATAACACGGCTATCCCCATAAAGCAGCTTAATTAAACGCCAAGCGTACAACCACAGGTCCCCTTTTGAATTGCTTATCTCACAGTGATTTGCATTCCTAACCTTTTTGAGTAGTCTTAGGAGGCTTGGTTCATTCACAACACCCGCTTCTTTACAGTTGAATAACAATGGTGTTCTCACTTCATTGCTTTGTCCCGAGTTTTTTGCTTGCCTTCTTGGACTTCTTCTACTTAGCTTTCTTTTGGCTCTTCTCATGTTCAGGCCTGGATTAGTACACCCAATGGTACTTTCTTCCAATCTTCCAAGGGTTACCCCTTCTCCAAACAAGATGGGCAGAGCAACATAGTTAGCAGCACCAACTTTTTCCAACCAACGGTGCAGTTTCTGCTTTTGCTTAGAAAAAATACTACGTTGATGTTCCAGCCATCTTGTCTCAAGAGCCCTCTCCCTTTTTCCCACATAAGTGAGCTTATAAAATGGAGAGATCAACAGATACACACAGCTCCTTGCATGCGTAGTTCACTCCTTTGCTCGTTTGTCATATTTACCCAATACTTCACATACACCTTCCCTCATCTAATAAAGCCTCTCAGACATAGGATTAGGACAAGCAACCTTCTCTATCTCACGACCAAACTTGCTAGAGACATCTATGATTCTTCTGCAGGCCCTCAGGAGGGTTCTCTTACTCAGGCATGTTCAATCTCTTGTGATGTCATCATGTCCTGAGTCTTTTTCTGACTCAGAGCTACTCTCATGTTCGTTGTTGTCTTCGCTTGTCTCTTTGTTGGTCTTGTTGCTCTCTTCCCTCTGTTCTTCAATCTTTTGCAGCACTTCGAAGTCCAGTCTAGCCAATTCCCATACTCCCCCTTCTTTTTGTATGGGATGCCCTTCTGTTTGCATAGAGATTGAATCTCAGTGTAGTGCATGGCATCATAATACACTACCCTGTCTCTGAAATACAGACCAGGGGCAAGCTCCTCCTTCCCAGTTTCCTTTTCTGCTGTCGTATCAGGTTCCTCAATCTTTTCTACCGCCTCCTTCCCCTTCTCCCCTTTCTCCGGATCTCCATGTTTCTCATTCCCTTTCCGGCTCATTCTGTCTTCACCAAATGCGCCCCCTGCAGCATTCTTTGCTGCTAATAATTCCTCGATAAGGTCTTTTAGCACGAGCACCTCCGAGAGGTTCCCCCCAGATTCCTCCAATTTCCCTTTCAAATTTTGAACCACCGCATTTTTTTCTCCATCGTCCGATGACACCTCCACAAGTGTCTTCTTTTTGCCCCCTTTCCTCAATAGCCCGGACCGCGATCTAACCTTCCCGACTCGTGGCCTCCCAGGTGATGCAGTGTCCCGTTTTCTTTTTTCATTACTCGAGTTTTCTCTCAACTCCCTCAGTTCTTTCTCAGCTCTCAGTTTTCTTAATTCCTCCACCTCACTCTCTTCCAATTTTGCCTTTTTTTCAACGACTTCCATCTTCTCCGTCAGGATTTTTAAGGAATTCCCGAAATTCTCTGCCACCCATCTCTTCATATCATCAACTTTTCCCTCTTTGGCAACTTTGCCTTTTCCTCTGTCTCTACAACCCTGCTTTTTTGCTTTATCATCAGCTTTCTCTTTCTCTTTCTGTCCCATAGACTCATGGCTCAGCTCTTTCAACCTTGCTATCTCTTCTAAGTCTTTCTTACGTGCCTCCTCAATGGCATCCTTCATCTTCAGTTTGTCGATAAAGTCGGCATGCTCCCTTGTGAAGAATACTCTCGGTTGGTAATTACCTCCAACCCCACGCCCAAATCCTTGATTGTATTGTCCATTCGTCGATGTCGAAGCCTGTCCTGGGTAAAAAGTCGGTGCTTGTTGAATGGCTGGTGCAAACTGCTGCTGAACCGGAGTAAACCCATACGGTGCCAACGGTGATGGATGGTACATTCCACCCATCGGCTGTTGATACGCAGGTAAAGGTTGCTGGTACGTGGGGGGAGCTTGCAGTCCTTGCGGGGGGGGTCGTGGAGTTGTATTCTCCATCCAGTACCTCCCACAATTAGACCACCTTCCCCTCCCACGCCCTTTCCCTTGCGCTCGCATGGAAGGTCACTCACGGAAATTCGTCACCAAATACAAGCCAACTCACGAAACCTGCACACAATATTAGTACTTAGAAATCACAATCAGAAAAACAGCAAAACAACACATTTGTCAGTACGTAGAAATCAACCCCGCCGTTCTGTCTTGATGTCGCGCTTGGTCGTACAACCCCCTGCTCCAAGGCTTGGGGTGACACCGTCGTGTACGAAGAGTCCCCTTCGCAGTCGATTCAGATTCGGAAATTGAGAGTTGATTACCCCAGGCTATTCCGACTAAGGTTCCATACGAACCCTCGTCGAGACACACATTTGTTTGCATTCAAGGCAACATACACCCGTCTCACCCTCCATTGTTTGTCTCTTACCGCTCAAGTTTCATTATTCTACATTGCTAACTTTCCATCCAACACTGTGACTAACTTCGCATGCTCCCTCACGTCACCGAGGCGAGATCCCTGTTATCCTCCCCCCGACTTATTTCCCTTCCCGCCCGTTTAACCTCTTCCTGCACATCCCCCCTCTCGTACTAGCTCTCTTCCACAATCGAGACTCGGTCCAAAGTCACAGTGCGTAAGCCAGGATACACATTCGCCGATCCAATTACGGCTTCTCCATGTGTCCCAACAAATATTCCCAAGCCCTTACCACGTAGAATTCCTCAATCAGTATGTCGTACGATGCGTCCTTCAATGTCTCAAATCCCCGTCCACGTGCCGAACTATACGTGTTCTCGCCACACCAGGAGGTGGGGGGTTGGCACACGCGGACCCGCACAACACTTCATTTCTCATGTGCGCCACCTCTCCCAATCAACCGCGCTTTCTTCCCCGACGGAAGAAACCAGTTAAGCGCCCTCTACCACTACACCAACGCGATCATTGATCTCGCATTTCACCCCCGGCTGTGCTGCGCAGAACCCGTTAGCAGCGTATCAACCAAGCGACCAACACCTTCGCCTCCGCTGAAGAGCTCCAGTCCCGTGAAGAGACGCAATTGCTCTCCAAGTTAACCCTTCACAAGCCCTGCATATCCAAATTACTACCTGCAACGTGTAGAAATGTGTTCCAGCCCATCAAGGAGTGGGGGACTGCGCACATGGCGGATCAATGCACCGCGCCCCTTACCCTTGCCCGCACTTGATCAGCTTCCACCTGTACTCACTTTTTTCAATCGCAGCGCTAACTTCCCAGCGGAGAATCCGTTAACTATCACCACCACCATCTGAAGCCAAAGAGCTACACGTGCACTGCGAAGAGCCCAACGAGCAACCACTTCCCCACTGATGGGCCCAGTACGAAGCACGTGACGAAATGAGAGGGAAAAAACGCCCATGCTCAAAAGGAGGCGTGGCGCTGCCCGTGGAGGATCCGGCGACGGGCGTGTACTACAACCAAACCAGAAAATAGAAAAATAGAAAAATACAAAAATAGATGAATTGAAACGCACATCAGTGACAAACACTGATGGCACCACTCGATCGTTCCCAGGCTGCACTGCAAGGTCGATCAACTGGCTCTACTGCAATTCAAATACATTAATCAGGAATTCATGGACTTTACTCTCACAGCCAAGAATCCCCGAACATCGCCAATAAAACACCATTGGCGCTCGACCCTTCTCTCCTGCTGCTCAGGCTAAGAGGAGTAACACCTCCCAGTAATCTACTATATGTACTATTACTCGCCTGCAAGAGCGAGCTACCTCAGTACCCAACCGCTGCTACCCACCGAGTAACCGTTGGGCCAAAAGGCGGCGGCGCACCCAAGTGATAAACAAATGAAGTAGTCTCAAAACAATTTTTTTCTCTCGACAAAATCAAAAAAAAAAAATAAATCAGAAAATCAAAAAATCAAAAAAAATCTCGAATCTAAATATAAATCTAAAATCTCGTTGCAAGCTCCTCCCCTTCACAGTGCCAGCCTATTTTGGCATGGGCGCCTCTAATTTCTTACGTTGTATTGCATACTGGCCTCTTTTTTTAGTGGGCTCGTTGGTCCTTCCGCTACGCCCTCCTCCACCTTTTCTTTGCTAACAAGGTCCTAACAGGAGACAAGCTGGGGGAGGTGATGACACATGGAGTCATCTCCTTAATGTTAAAAAAAGGGGACAAGGCAAATGTGAGGAATTACCGCCCGATCTCCCTTTTGAACGTGGATTAAAAAATCCTGGCGAAAACGATGGCGTTGCGGTTGAGAAGGATATTACCTAAACTAGTGGGTGCGTTTCTACAGGGCCGGTCAATTTTCCTCAATATTCTGACAGCAATTGAGTTCGTTGAAGTAATACGGACAGAAGATAGGAGCATGGCGACACTCCTGCTGGATTT